GTCTTTTTTGTGTTTTTTTTTTGCACAGTGATAAGCGCCGATGGTGAACCAGTAGGAGTTGATTTGATTTATACCGGGAACCCCATCAGTGTTGGAAATGTGGAGACATGCCAGACCGTCAAGGAGTGGAACCCAGACGCCCCATTCGAGACGCAGCACTGCAACCTTGCTTTTCCGGCCCCTGTAAGTAATGGCTTGGACAGCTCCAACGCAGCGCTGAAGGGCGTGGCAAGCATGAGGAAACTCAGCCTCTGATCGCTAACTAGCCTTTAGTCAATGCCTTCGTGGGTGTGTGTAACGGCAAAGCGACTGGACAGGAGACCAGGCGAGTGGCACAGCCACGAGGCCTTTTCCAACATGATTGTGAGGTTTTTGTGGTGAATTATTCTGACATGCATTATTCATAAATTTCATGTAAACTGTTGAAGCAGATGAGTCTCCAAAAAAAACGGCATCAACTCCAAAGCTTAGCCTACGCAATGTTTCCATCTGGTTTTTCATGATGATGACAATAAGCGGTGAGATGACAACTATGATGCTTGTTGGTGGGGGATGATTCTGACGTTGGAGTAACACTAGCAAGTAGCAGTTCATCAAGGCCGAATGGTCAAAGCATAACAGCAGTGTTTGAAATATGGAGCTCTTACCATATCCAGTGGGTAAAGACGGAAACGTCGCGCCCGCGTACAGATTCTTTAATAGCCTAACGATGCAACGGTTCAAACTCGGCAAGGTGAAATTAGTAGACAATTGACCTGCACTCACGACTGCCGACACCGTTGACACGCTCGCCATCTTTCGTATACTTTCAATTTGCATAATAGGTTAATGTATGCTGACCCCCTCGCTTATGATTGGTTAGGAGTTTTGCTACACCAAAGGGAAAGCAAAAATGGAAAATACAAAGAAAAACATAAGAAATTCCTGACAAGTTGAAAAAGGCCCTCAGGCTGAGCCGCTCGTGTGTGTGGTCTCCTCTCCAGTTCCTTTGCGGTCATACACACACAGCCACGAAGGTCTTGACGAAAGGCTAATCACTAGCTTGAAATAGATTCAGATATAATACAGAGAGCTGCTATGCGATGGTTATAATCGTTTGAATCAAAATAACATACACATTCATAAACACCATAAGTCCCAACGTCTAAAATTATCGCTACTTTCTAAACGGCTTCAATGTGAACTGCACTGGCTCCCAGCTTTTTATATTTCAGTGCAACGTGTGCTTCGGTTTATGGGGGGAGGTGGCGTTGCAACCTCCTTCGTCGTATTGCTTCAGGCGGTTGATAGATTCAGATAATATTATTAAAAAATTAAATTAAATTTTTTAATACATTTATGACTGCATGATGAATTGGTGTGATTCTGATGTGTTTATTCAAGCATGGAACGACTACTTTCTGTTTGCAGACAAAGTCCAGGATGTACATTGAGCGAAACACTTAAAATTAGGCAGTACTAAATCCAAAGAAAGTTTCACTGAAAGTTAGTCAGTGGCGTATCCAGCGGGGCGGCAGGGTGGCAACCCCCCAACCCTATCCCCCACGAATTTCTTTAACATTTTTAATTCAAATATTAGCACCAAAACCCCAAGAAAAACAGCACCACGAAATAAAAACAAGGATGTTGGGACCGTGAAAAAGGCATCTGATGCTTTGACTCCACCCAGCATCATGTTCCATTAACCGGAAGCCTCACTGACGTTTGAATTCCCCAACCCCTGAAACTAAAAGCTATAGATACGTCACTGAATAACAATGGGACCTTAAGGGAACTTTTTTTCTTCTTTTCTCTTTTTTCCCTTCTTCCCCCCCCCCCTGCATTTGCTTTAAACGTCCTTTATAACACTGTATTGGGTTCTTTAAAACAAACGATAATTAGGGTAATTTTAAATTGCAGGAGATTCAATAGCTGGGAACAGTCGACTCAAAAAAAAAAAAAAAAAAAAAAAAAAAAAAAAAAAAAAAAAAAAAAAAAAAAAAAAAAAAANAAGCTCCTGCTAGATCTCGGGCTGTGGGATCCTCAAGAACATGACGGAGTCGATTTTGAGGAGATAGCGGGCCAAATAAGCAGCGAGCTCCAGCAGTATGTTGGCATCAAAGCCTGGCGGAATGTGTCCTCCAACTGCCTGAACAACACACTTCAGTTTTTCCTCGATGCTAGCCAGGGCGTCCCCTACACGAGTCAAAGTAAGTCAATATGCGAAACGGAATTGTCATTCGCTAAGACAATTAAGGCTGGACATATTGATGCTTTTGAGACAATTTTAGCAATACGACATGCCATTCGGTAAACAAACGGGCCCAAGCCCAATAAATTGTAACTAGACCTATAGTGTGAACTTAGTGGGCAAGTTGTGTTAACGCGTCAAAAAACCCTTGATATAAGGCATTATGAATGTCATTGCTTGCTTCATCCGATTATGACTCATTTGCCAAAATTGTCCACGTCCATGATCACTCTTCCAGTATTTCTTGCCTAAACTAGGAGTTGTAAGGTCCTGGTCGGGGCGGTATTCATGACTGCACCTAAGGCTGCAAAAGGGATTGTGATATTTTGGTAGTTCCATAAACGCATAAGTAGGTTACATAAATTCATCACTTCGTTAAAAAAAAAAAATTTGTTTGTTTTTTGGGGTTTTTTTGTTTTTGTTTTTTGCACAGTGATAAGCGCCGATGGTGAACCAGTAGGAGTTGATTTGATTTATACCGGGAACCCCATCAGTGTTGGAAATGTGGAGACGTGCCAGACCGTCAAGGAGTGGAACCCAGACGCCCCATTCGAGACGCAGCACTGCAACCTTGCTTTTCCGGCCCCGGTAAGTAATGGCTTGGACAGCTCCAACGCAGCGCTGCAGGGCGTGGCAAGCATGAGGAAACTCGGCCTCTGATCACTAACTAGCCTTTAGTCAAGGCCTTCGTGGGTGTGTGTAACTGCAAAGCGACTGGACAGGAGACCAGGCGAGTGGCACAGCCACAAGGCCTTTTCCAACTTGATTGTGGGGTTTTTGTGGTGAATTATTCATAAGTTGCTCTGATATGCATTATTCATAAATTTCATGTAATCTGTTGAAGCAGATGAGTCTCCAAAAAAAAAAAAAACGGCATCAACTCCAAAGCTTAGCCTACGCAATGTTTCCTACTGGTTTTTCACGATGATGACAATAAGCAGTGAGATGACAACTATGATGTTTGTTGGTGGGGGATGGTTCTGACCTTGGAGTAACATTAGCAAGTAGCAGTTCATCAAGGCCGAATGGTCAAAGCAAAAATGGCAGTGCTTAAAATATGGAGCTCTTACCATAAAGACGTAAAGACGGAAACGTCGCGCCTGCGTACAGATTCTTTAATAGCCTAACGATGCAACGGTTTAAACTCGGCAAGGTGAAATTATCCAGCAGCATATTCTCAAGAGCTGTCCAAATACTTAGACAATTGACCTGCACTCACGACCGCCGACACCGTTGACACGCTCGCCATCTTTCGTATACTTTCAATTTGCATAATAGGTTAATGTATGCTGACCCCCTTGCTTATGATTGGTTAGGAGTTTTGCTACCCCAATGGGGTAGCAAAAATGGAAAATACAAAGAAAAACATAAGAAATTCCTGACAAGTTGAAAAAGGCCCTCGGGCTGAGCCGCTCGTGTATGTGGTCTCCTTTCCAGTTTCTTTGCAGTCACACACACACAGCCACGAAGGTCTTGCCGAAAGGCTAATCACTAGCTTGAACTAGATTCGGATATAATAGAGAGAGTTGCTATATGATGGTTATAATTGTTTGAATCAAAATAACATACACATTTATAAATACCATTAGTCCCAATGTCTAAAATTGTCGCTACTTTCTAAATGGCTTCAATGAGAACTGCACTGGCTCCCAGTTTTTTATATTTCAGTGCAACGTGTGTTTCAGTTTATGGGGGGGTGTGGCGTTGCAACCTCCTCCGTCGTATTGCTGTTAGGCGGTTGATAATATTATTAAAAAATTAAATTAAATTTTTTTAATACATTTATGACTGCATGATGAACTGGTGTGAATCTGATGTGTTTATTCAAGCATGGAACGACCGCTACTCTCTGTTTGCAGACATAGTCCAGGATGTACATTGAGCGAAACACTTAAAATTAGGCAGTACTAAATCCAAAGAAAATTTCACTGAAAGTTAGTCAGTGGCGTATCCAGCGGGGCGGCAGGGTGGCAACCCCCGACCCCATCCCCCACGAATTTCTTTCACATTTTTTATTCAAATATTAGCACCAAAACCCCAAGAAAACAGCACCACGAAATAAATACAAGGATGTTGGGACCCTGAAAAAGGCATCTGATGCTTTGACTCCACCCAGCATCATGTTCCATTAACGGGAAGCCTTACTGACGTTTGAATTCCCAAACCCCTGAAACTAAAAGCTATAGATACGTCACTGAATAACAATGGGACCTTAAGGGAACTTTTTGTTTTCTTTTTTCTGCATGTGCTAGAAACGTCCTTTATAACGGTGTTTTGGGTTCTTTGAAACAAACGACTCAAAACAAAACAAAACAAAACACTAAACAAAATAATTGGTCGCCTCACTGGTATCTTAACTGCAACACAGCGCTGTGTCCAGATCTTAAGCCCTGGCGTTATGGGAAATTTGAAACAACAAAAATCCGTGAAGGAGTTCTGCCTTCCCAGAGGAAGATGTAATAATCCAAGCGAATATGCTACGCCGAAGCAGATGTCATAGAACGTTAATTTGAAATGAAATTTGCTTCAGTTGAAAATGTATATTAATTAAAACACTTTTTTTGGTTTTACTTCCTCGATCGTGTTGGTGTTTTCGATTATCCGTTTTACAAAAATGCAAGTTTCAAAGAAATGAAATACGTAGTTGGCAAATGACAACATTTTAGCGTGGGCACGTTGCCCACTGCCCTGTGCACTGAATATGCAACATAGGGGTATTATTGTTTTGGCATACTGACATGTTTGTTTTCTCGTTCTGCTTATTTTCCAGCCGAATTCTTTTCGGATAATCGGTCTCTGCTTCCCTGCTAATTGCTCTGAGTCTGATCTGAAGCAACTTTTCGAGCCTGTACCGTGTAAGAATGTATTGAATTTAATTCCTTTTTTTTTTCAGAATCAGCCATAACTGCACTGTGTTGCTGCATGTTCAATGTTACTTTTCAAGAACTATTCAAAGCGTGGATCGGTTTTTAAAGTGCCGTACCCCTTGCTAAGTTTGAGTCCCAACAAAAGTTGACCACTGGTCAATTACTTTTCATTATGCGCAAAACATAAGGTTTCTATCGAGAACTCCCACAGGAGCAGGTCCAGAACCTTGTGTTTGGGGGAGCTGAATTTGTTTAGGAAGCAAATTCCTTAAAGCTTCACGTTGGGTAAGCTACACTTTAAGGTAAAATCCCTTGTTTGGGGCTGCAATGGAATCGTACGGGACATAGCTCAACTGGCCCCCTTCAATCCACAAGTCCCATCGCCATCCAATTGTTTCCGTTACTTTTCTTTCACCATCCTTGGCTTATCTGCTAATTATTCTCATGTCCATCCTTCGTAGGCAATAACAAAAAACGTAACCTGGAGATGATACAACATACCTGGTCCTATAAGTCGGGTCCCAAGTGGTCAACTAAAAACAGTGTACATATAGTTTTCGAATGTTTGAGCATTGGTACTCGATGACAAACTGTTAAGTTGAGGCTTGAATATTGCCTTATAAGTTATTTTTTGCGCGTGTCTGGTTGCATGACCTAGGATACTGACTTTTAGGAGAGAACTTCCAGCTTGGTAGCCGGAACAGTCATTAGACTTAAACACAGGGAATCAGTTTCTTTTTTTATTTCTGTTGGGGGGTCAGTGAGTTTTCCTGAACTAACATTTGCTACTTATGAAAATTGTTGTTAACGTTCAGAAATATCTAAAATGTCTTAATCACATTTCTTCAAGGGTCTATCTCCCGACATGGAACACGGCTCTGACAATTTCAATGATTTTCTTAACGTTTCAAAAGTATATATAGTGCCACCCTTGCCTTTTGCGTTCCACACAATTTATTTCCCCAGACGGGAGATGCTGTTGCTATACCTCGTGACTCGGGGCAAGCTTTTGCATAGCAACCGCTATCTCTGGAATGGACTGGTTCCCTTGTGCCCTTCTTAATTTCTTATCCATTCAAAACAGTGTACAGGTGCAAGGCGTCTTTTGTGGAACTAAGCAAAAGCTTGCTCTTGAATCTAGAGGTATAACAGTGTCTTTAGTATGGAATATTCAAATTGTTATGTTCACGTGAATTTAAAGAACTCAGTGTCCCAGATTTTATTCAAGTTTAACTCGCAAAAGGCTTATTCTACCCCCTCCCCGATTTCCAACCGCCTCAAAAATGTACCTAGCGATTCTGATGAGGTGGAGTGCGTAACGGTATTCGAAGCATGGGACTCTTTAAAGGCTGTTAAACTTGTCCAACTGCATCGTTTACTTTTCATACTTTTGATACAGTTATTGGACCATATATTGAAATAACTTCCTGTGTAGGACCATACCCTTGGAAGCCCTGGGCCATTGTCACAGTGTAAGTTTGTAATTGCTTTGAATATTGTTTTTTATTGCCTGCCTTGCCTAGAAGGAAGGAATCGTTTGAAATTAGCAGTTGAGAAAATGAGACAGGACATCGTATTTAACGTCCTTTTTAATTTTTTGTTTAGCTGAAACGTCAATTTCAGATCCTTTTATTTTTTGGAGACCATTTCATTTTTTTGGCTAGAGTCAGGAGAGGGGAAAGGTTGCAGATTCGTTTCAAAACTTTATGACCTTTCCGAAGAGAAAAGTTGAATTTTTGGGCTTTGCTTACGTTTTCTAGTGCTAGAGAAATGAAACTGTCTACCAAATCGTCTTTCTCTTTTTGAAATTTCACAAACAATATTCTGTAGTACATGTTTCAGATTGCCCAAAATGTTCTTCACACCAACCAACCTTTGAACTGAATCCGAAGGAATCAATAAGATCCTTTCTTCGATTGAAACATTGATTCAAACATTGATTCATTCCATTCCAAAGAGTGCTCTGTTGTAAATACAGTGAAATGGGCTTAATGCATCTGAAAAAAAGTTTTGAAGAGATGATATGTTTTAGTAATGGCCCAAGAAAGGGATCATTTGGAATACGCTAATTATTGACAGGAATGAGAAGGAGAACGGTTGTAGGGAGTGTTTTGGTCTTTTAGTCTGGTTTGGCCTGGTCTGGTCTGGCTTGGTCTGGTCCCGTTCGTGGTTCATGTACTGTACATGCAAACACAGTAAAAGGGTAATAAAAGAGCTGGGTTGTTGTTTATTAGAAGCAAGTGTTGAATGTTTTTATTGTAAAGCTTTAAAAAGATTTTAAATGAATCTCCGGTCTACCTTTTGACAATTATTTTCCGGAGACCCTCAAACAGCTGAGTCGTTATCAAGGAACAAAACTGGGTATTTTCGAAAAAATGTACTGAATGGAAAAATAGAATTGAGTATTTTGGGTAGGAATAAAAGGAAGACTATGTGATAGTTTCATAGCAAGCTAAATTTTTCAAAACGCAAATAGTTGATCAACGAGGATGGAGACACTGTATTCAACATCCTACGCGTGAGACACAAACAAGAGAAAGGAAAAAGTTTTAAAAATTATTAACCGCTTTTCCACTGTAGATGCATTTTGTGTTTCTTCCTGTTATTGGTAACCATGGGAACGGTGTACCACGTGATGATTCGTCCAAGGAAGACCAGCAAATATAAAGTAGAGGCTAGTTTGGAGAAAACTGCGGAGGAGCAAGAAAAAAAGGATAATTCCTTTGAAAAGGTGAGATAAGTAGATGATACCTCCCCTTCTCGGTACAAAATCCGCCGTACCACAACTAGAAAGACTAGGAGAGCAATGAAAGCATTGACGAAAAGGACCTCAAAGACAAGAAGAACAGTACCTAGAAAATAAAGACATCACTACCTATTTTGATATGTAACGATTTAAAAACTGAAAAACAATACAGACACACGTTTCTAAGTGACTTTTGAATAGGCCGCTTTAGTCTGCGGGGGAATTAAAGTTGCTTTGGTCTCCAAATCGAAATCGAGTGTAAGTCACATTCCATTCGAGAGAAAGCGACACTAAAATCACATTTCATCTTGCGTAATTTCAGACCGACTTAGAACTTAAGTACGGCAGTAATGGAACGGCGACTGTTGCTTCGAAGAAAGATCTGGAAGCTAACGGTCATGCGACCCACTATAATGAAGGATTCGTCGATGAAGAGGGTTCTAAAAGCAATTCGAATGACAATAACTCTCCGGCTGATCACGCCCGTGGAAAGGCAAAACCCCCTCAGCAAAAGACCAAGACGTCAGGTGAATCGTGCTTTATGTTTTGGCATTAAAATAGACATGAGATTTGGTTGTTTAATCGAGATAGGTAAAATCTAAACATTTTACAGCTAGTGATTGGTTTTGTATTTTTCAATTGTCTCTTTCTTTTGATCTTTTCGAGTACTTGTATTGTATATACTCAGCTAGAATTTTATTTTTTTTCCAGTTGGGGATTTATTTTAGTTATACCTTGAAGCATCTGGCTTTGAAAAGGGAACTGAAAACTGGGCACTCACAATTAGCGCTAATAGGCGGGCAAGGTTTAACCAATCACCCGACATAAACTCGAAGATAACGATCGTTAACCCTAAAAGAGCCGGGTTATTTTGGCTCATCTCACAGCTGGGAGGGGGTGGATTCAAACTCGGCTGTGCCTTGGTCCATTTTTTAAAACTAAGTATCCCTGCAAAGACACTCATTACAAATGTGACGTTTGAACTAAATCGACAGTGTCATTTTGTTGTTACGGTCAGTTGAAGATTAAGGTTGCATGTTTGCCAGCCCCCGTGCATTGAGCACCGCAGGGGATATACATTCGTGGCTGATCCATCTCAGTAAAAATGCGCCCTGCACAAGAACAGTATGTCCAATTTTCGCAAAATGACCGCAAAGAATTACTCTAACAACTTCTAAAGGCTCAAATTCTCAAATCGGGGAAAATTTCGGGGGGGGGATTCCACCCCGGTTCTTTTACAGTGGCGTAGCTAGGATTTTACTATAGTGGGGGGGGCACACAGGGGCTCAGCATCTTAATGGGGGTACCAGCTTTCAGTGGTATGTTTTTTGGGGGCAAGTCTTTGTTAGCCTTGTTTGTTATCCATTCATCCGTTTTTTTCACTGGAGGGCACCGAGACTTTGTGGGGGGCATGTGCCCCCCCCCCTTGCCCCTGTGGCTGCGCCACTGTTCTTTTAGGGCTAGAGGGGCACATTGCGGATATACTTTTGAAAAGTACAAAAGGTCAATTTTGGAAAAGTAAAATTGTTGAGCTGTGTATATGCACATATTGCATCAACTGGTTTTCATTTGTCAACAGGTTTTATCGATGATATCATGATGGGATTTTCATCCATCAACAACGGCTCGAAAATACTTAACACCGAATCAACGGCAGGAAATCTCGGCGCTTTAAACGGCATTCGTGTCATCAGCATGTGGTGGATTATTCTCGGCCACACTTTATACTACCTTATTTTTGGCTATCTTGGTGGGTTATAGTCACATGTCATCTCCCTTTCAGTCCGATTAACTCATTTGTACAATAACAATCTTTCATTGAAAACCTTCCCCGCTATTCTAACAGTGAACATATCCGCAAGTCTCGGACTATTTGTGCAAGTCTTGGTCGAAAGAATAGATATTTCATCGTGTAAGCTTTGAGCTTATCTGAATTAAGATTGTTTGTGTTTTTCCAATCAGATAATGCCACTTACATGTATTACAAGCTCTACAACTCCTTCCTATTCAGCGTTATTGTCAGCGCAAATTTGTCCGTAGACACCTTCTTCTTTTTAAGGTAGAGTATCTAAATTTAGACGTTCTATGCCAATTCCCGACCTGGGAATACGAAATGCTGGTAGTCTGTTATCAGGGTGTCAGGAAATTCTAAACCAAAGTTGCGTAAAGGAAGTAAAGAGCTGTCAGTAAGATACTTTCTCGCAACATCAGGACCATTTCAAGTTTTCATGATCTTCAATTCACTGTGTAACGTGCAACAGGAAAAACACAATCTGAAAATGTCAGGTCACAATTCTTTAAACCTGAGTTAAATTTAAGAGTAAATCTGGGTGAAGGGGGAAAAAGGTTTAAAAACAATTCTTTTCCACGATTGCAGCTGGACTTAACTTGAAAGTGCGGTCAAATTATTATTGCTGTTAGTAAATGTGTCCACCTATATCTCATGGTTCGTCAGCCAGAATTATATCTGAATAGTTGCTTTCCCCCCTCTGTATAGTGGGCTCCTACTCACATATCTCACCTTGAAGCATCTTAGGAAAGCCAAAGGCAGACTGAACTGGTTTCTCTTCTATCTGCACCGCTTCGTCCGTCTCACTCCGGCCTACATGGTGGCCATCGCCATATGGGCTAGCCTGGCCATTCATTTTGGCCAGGGACCCGCTAAGAAGAACTTCTTCGAAGCGGCAGCGGACGCCTGCCGGAAGTACTGGTGGACAAATCTGCTGTACATAAACAACTTGTACCCGTTTCCTGGCGATTTAGGACTCCAGGTATGTTATAATCCGATACCATATTTTCCCCCGGTCAACTATATCTTTGCAGATAATAAATATTTCGCATCCTATTCAAGCATTCTTATAAAATCGCCCACAACCTCTCTTTAGTTTAGCACACTGAGGAAAAAATGTGTCTGTTGTTCCGCAAGAAGAACATGACCGAATTTTTGCAAACTAGGTGTCAAACTGACCACAAGAGTTTAAGAAACGATTTCTCTGCCTGGGTCCATGAAAAGTGCATTGCAACGATAGTGGAGAAATTGTGGAGCGGGAAGATTCGCGTCCCTGTTCTTTTAAGATGAAAAATGAAGATGTTTATGATTTTCATAAGGTTCAAGGTTGCGTGCTATGTCCTTGACCTATGACCAACTGACTTGAGATTTGACTTGTGACTGGAGTAATGACTTGTGACTTGGCTTAGACTTGCCAATATTGACTTGTGACTTGTCTTGGCCCTGCAAAATTGATTTGTTACCACCTCGGTAAGTTTTATATTTCGCACATTGGGTCCGTGCATGGTTTTACAGGTCACTATCCATGCAGTAGTAGAATTTCTGGGTTTTAATGTTTCGTTGATCGTCGCTCATACACACGTTGACAAGCAGATTTCGCACAGAAATATTAATGCTCAACTGATTCGTTATAGAAAGTTACAAGCACATTTTGTGGTTAAAAGGTTATTCTTTTGTGGAAGCCTGAATCGGTGGAGTTAAAAATGATTTTACAAAATGAAGTTACAACCGAAATGAGGCAAAATTTTGTTTTCCAAGATTTTGCCGATTCTGGCAGTCCCCTTCATAACTTCTATCAAGAATAGAGTAAGTTTACGGAAATTATTCAGTTTTTCAACATTTTCATCGTCAAATTTCCTTTGTTCTTCAGTGTCTCGGTTGGTCTTGGTATCTGGCCAACGATATGCAATTCTTCATCATTAGCCCCATCATCATCTACTTGCTGTACAAGTGAGTATTCAAGACCACCGGTCGATCATCGTATAGCGAATAGGTCAATGACATTTAACCTTTCTGTTAGGTGTTACACTTGACATTAATTTTTACACACCAGCAAAACATCCCCTGGATCCCACAGAAAAGTGTTGAATTTGTGCTATGATTTACTCAGGATAACAAGGTGTGCTTTTGGAAACCCCGTGACAAGAAACATGTTGTGTGACATCGAAGCAATGACATGGAATATGTTTAAAGTGGAGATGAAAGCAAAACCAGATATGATTAACGTCATCCGACACAGACAAAAAAGCAACGAAGCAGAACCCACTTGACAAAAACTAATTTTAGTCCATATTTGGCATGCTTCGTACCACCACTACTACCTATCTATTTTCACCTTCTAGCAGAAGACACCGGCAGTTTTTGGTTCACTTGTGACACCAAATTTGAGAGTACAGAACAATAATTTCAAGCATCAGTAACTGAGGTTGTGAAACATAGCTCTGGCAATGTAGATAAATCCTGGTCACATTCGTAAAACACGACTCAATTGCAACTCCGAGTCGGTTGAAATACTTGTTGCAAAACGTAGAGGTAATTGGTTCGAACCTGGTCGTATCAAGCTGGGAGCTTTTGGCGTTAAATACTGAAACAAAAATTGCAATATGCGTGCTAAGTGCCCGGATAAATTGCAACTTCTTGGAACTCTTGAATGCATTCGTAATGGTCTTTGAAATAAGTGTAACAATTCAAATGTATTAAGGGAATTAACCAACTCACCCGAGCTGAAAGAATTAATTTATAATGATGACAGGCAGAGTACGCTGCCGAAACGGTGAGTCAAAGGGCATACTCAGAACCAAAACTCACTATACTGTAGTCTACTTTTTCTCTTGTCTTAGAAACGCCAAGCTGGGAATGAGCCTGATAATGGTATTATGTCTGGGCTCTTTTGGCATCACTGCCTATCTAGCTGCTTATTACGGGGCACCAGTTGGACTTTACCCGTAAGTAACTTTTGTGATCATGCGAAACACGTCTGTATAATACATGTATAATTACACCTTACATCTACTTCATGAAGTGTCTGTGGGCAGCTGTTTTTAAGAGCATCTTTCTTTTCATTTAGACGTTAGATTTGACGTGCGGAATTCTTTAGCTTTTAAAGTCAACACCGACAACTAATGACACCAAGTTATGCAGAAAGGGAGACGGAAATCATAGGACGGGGAACTAAAACGATAACCAACAAAAAAACGCATTGAACCATTTAGGAGTTCCCTTTTTACCTTTTTAATTTCAGCGCTTACAACAACAATACAGTCGTTGTCTACGGGAGCACCACAGCAGACGTTATATACGGCAAGCCCTATTGTCGTATCCCAGCTTATTTGGTTGGCATGGTTTTTGGATACGTTTTCTGTCAGGTGCAGGGGAAACCCTTTAAAATGAGCAAGGTATGGTGATATTCAGGTGTGACTTTTTCAAATGTACTTTCGGGTATTAGAATCGTTGATTGAGCCACGTAGTGAGGTCCATTGTGGTTTTGGTGCTTGTAACTTCAGAGTTAGTACAAACGATACATATACAACGGTAGCAACCATACGGCAACTAAGTCCGAGATAGCAATGCAACCTACAATATGTATTCTTGGTTCATAGTAGACCGTGCTCCATGGGGCTATTTGAAAGCGAAAGCGAATTGTGTAGTCACAGAAATTTTCGCAAATCCACAAAAGCTGGACACCGCGATTCAGTAACTGTTGTTGGTAATAAGTTGTTGGTAATAGCAGGATAGTGAGGCATGTGCACTAACTGTACGATATGGGACAAATTTGAATACATGTTAACTTATAGGTGAACGTGATATTAAGTTTGGTCCTAACGGTACCTCATCCAAACTCAACGTACATCAAATAACCCATCTAACCCCCTGATTAAGCCAAGTCAAGTCAGCCTAATCCACTAGCTCCTAGACCCGCAAGGCCCAATCTGAACTCACTACAATCATTCGTATTCTCAACCGATATTTGTGTTTCCTGGCAGTGCCTCAACCTCTTCATGTGGTTTTTGTCTACGGCTGTCGCCCTGTCTGTCGTGTATGGGCTGTACAGGGACGAAGGAGGCGTACCACAATATGCCGCCGTGTTGTATACAGTTTTCTCGCGACCTGCTTTTGTGATGACCGTAGGCTGGGTCGCATTTGCCTGTGTTGTAGGCTATGGTGGTAAGCCAAATAAACTTTAAGAAAGGGTGCGTTCGATTAGCTTACATAGGACAACCCTGACCTGGGGATGGCTGTGCTTCTCTGTTAAACAATCACGACGGTGGGGACGAGGTTAGACGCCTTCGCTAATCTAATCGCATTGTGGGCCTTAGTCATTAAATGAATCATAGAAGCTAATCGAACGCACCCAATAGAGCCTGGAAGTGAAAGGTCACGCAGCGAGCTTCCGGAACCCTAGGGCGGTCCGCCTATGGGAATATTACATTGGGCCGTCCTATCACGTTCGATAATTTTTGGAAGAAAATTCTTTACTAAAACCACCCCATGAAACACTCATGTTGGAATTTTACCTTTGTCTGAAGTTCCTCAAGTACCATTTTGGAAACGTCTCCTTGAGATGGGTAAAAAAAACGAATTTTTAACGACCTTTCACGTCCGGCGATATCATACCTTGTTCATGCACTTTTTAAAATTTTTCTTTTGTTCACTTACTTCAAACCGTAAATGTTAATCTGCGTACAAGCTGCCACATTGCACTGTTCTTCATGGATTTTAGATTTTTGGAAGTGACGGGTTAATTTTTGGCAGGATATTTCTTTTTTAGATCAGGTAATTTTTCAGTTTCTATAAATTGATATACTAGCAAACATTTTTCAGAACCCTTTTCCCAAGGTCGACTTTTAAAAAAAAAACTGAACGAACAAATATGATAGATTCAAAAATCTTTGCAAGTTATTTTTCCTAACCAAGGGTTCAGGAAGCACGCCATCAGGGGTCAGTTTAGGCTCTATTTAGCACATAGCGATTGCAGAACATAACACTTAGCCTGAAGCTGTTGATTGGTTGTTGGGTGTCATATATAGTAGACGCCGGTCATAATTATTGTGGTGTTGACCCCCAATCCCTTCTAATGGCATTTAAATGGATTAGTGGGTGTCCTTTATTAAGAACCGCGGGAAAGAGGGTCAGAGTAAGGTCAGAGTACCTTTTTTCAGCCGTCTGGATGGGGGAATGCACAACCTCTAAGCAACAGTCCCACAATGGCCGAGCCACAATCACCCCCCATGAATAAACCCAGACATGTGTATACAAACAGCAGACAGAGCAAGCACCCTTTTTTGTCTCCCTGACACTGATAAACAACAGGCCCTCAAGGACCCGTGGAAGATATACACGGTTAAATAGCACTGAGCCAGCGGCCGTCTCGAGTTTTTTCCCTGATCACGGTAAGCCCAGACCATGAAGGTGACAAAACCAGGTTATTCAGCGTAAATGCATTTACGTCACCTGTTGACATCGGTGTGGCTAATTTCTCAATTAAAACGTTTAACCTTCAAATGCAATTACCTCTTATGTGATCCTACCTCTGTTCATGCTGAACAACCTGGTTTTGTCAATTTTACCGTGTGGGCTTACCTTAAATCTAAACTGTGATTCAATTTGGTACGTTGATCAAAATGAGACTATAATGCTTCCTTGGTGTCCAAAATCACCGGATTGAGCATATTTTATAAACTATGCCCCCTGATGAATCCTACTCCCTAAACAGTTTTTATTTTGCTTTTACTTTTCCTGGCAGGACCCGTCAACAGCCTGCTGAGTTGGGGTGTCTGGGCTCCCTTGAGCCGCCTCACCTACGGTGCCTACCTCCTTCATTCCATCATCTTGTACGTCATCTACACGAGTTCCAACGTACAGTATCACTTCAGCTACATGGAATGGGTAAGAATGGCTAAAAACCATGTTAGCGTTGAGATTTTAGTCCACTCCTAAGCAAATTTAGGGTGAATGAACCAAACAATTATTTAGCGACCAGCGATGGCACAATATTCGTAAAGATATCATGGGGACAGATATCATAAGTAAGCGTTGCGTGCGTCTTCCTAGCCCGGGTTGGACGACGTCTACATTGCATTGCGACTAACGTCCAGGGTATACAAATCCTCCTACTATGCCAATTTGTTTTACACTTTTTTCTCACATTTTTACCTGGCGGAGACAACTCAAAATGTCGTTCACAAATGCTTTGTATCCCGAATTCCATTAATGCTGTGTTGCAATTACTAAATACACCCACGGCAACGTATTTTGCAGGAAATTTGCAAAACAAAGTAAACCCTTTAACCATCCATTATCAAGGCTTTTGTTTTAATTATTTAAATAAAAACAGCTCCAATTTGGATAGAGGATGTCGTTCTCAGTAGAATGAAGTTAAATACTTTTATCATAATTGCAAAGAACTCTTTACGTTATCACTCTCAGCAACCCAATATTTCCAATATATTGGTTGATTCGTTTGGGGTTTCTTTTTGTTTTGTTTTTTAAATATTTCAAGTGGTAATAATCCAAATCTTTTGCAGGTGTGCCTGTTTTTAGCTAATTTGATATTGGCGTACGGGGCCGCCTTCATAATGTCGATCGGCGTGGAAGGTCCGTTCATGGGACTAGAGAAAGCTCTACTAGGTGGAGGGATGCGAGGCAAGAAGAAATGAGAACTGGTCCCGCGTACAACTGCGGGTGTGGAAATAGTGCATTGACTGCAGTCTGCTGACACCTTGCTCTGTGGAAGTCAATTTATGAATGATTTAAATAACTAAGACACTTTTAGCGTCTAATAAAATTGCGATCCGCAATTAGAAATGTTGATATAGAATACATCTACTAAACAAGGTTTGCTTGCGCAAGTCAGAAAAGTTGGTAGCACTGACCTACAGACAACAAAGCTTTAGAAACAAAAAAGAATGGAAGTGCTTAAATTATTAATTGGCTGTAGTTTTATGGATATGTTGCTGTGGCAGTAAATGTGGAAAAGTGTATTTGATTAGCGAATGATCAGTAAGTTAGTCCAAAAATGAGTTCAACCAAGTCAAGTGCAAAACTTTTTAAGAAGCAGCTCAAGTTTTCTAAAACTCAGGAATTGATGATCAGCTTCAATACCATTTGCAGCATAAATTTGGAGGTAGTTTAGGTATGTTATACGTCTTTTCAGTGCATGTGCACACAGTACATATATCACTATAAATAGAACGACTTAAATAGCCTAGGAAGAGTACTCAATCAAAATTCCAATTCCCATAGTTGAATTAAGCACATCAAATCTTCAAAAAATAGCAGATTTTTCAAATTGTTGACCAGTGTAATTTGTGAGAAATATTCAGCCAGACATGAGATTTTGTCCAATTTTCAACGCTTAAATATCTGGTCAGTTATTACCAACCGATCGGGCAGATCGGACACTTTTCTATGTTGATTGTTCGGATTTTGCTTTTGTTATTTGTATACGAAATCTTGCATTCAAAGTAGTGAACATGACGTCAGAAATCCACAGAAAGCTTCACTTCTTTAGCAACAACAAGATCATAATTAGCCAAATTTTACCAATCAATGAAAGGGTCCATGAAGACATCCGTGGACAAATTGTACATTAATAATTGTTTGAAATATTTACTACTAATGCCGATAAAACGATAGGGGATGTAAAAATGGAATACAATTCCCTTTGTTGTGGTTAATTGTACTGATACGTCAAATGAATGTTTTAATTCTGACAAATGATAGCGTTGCGGGTGACATACATTTGAGAACCCAACTATAGTCAGGCACCATTTCGGTGCGCCTGGACCCAAAAGAGACATGGGCTTTGGCTACGCAAAATTTACGTGCAAGCGGAATGATAGAACGTGAAATGCAAGCGCGCGTAGAATGTTCACATACACTATGCCCACGCATTTGGCAAAGGCTGGTCTTGGGCCAAGACGGCAGAACTCAATACGGTTCGTAAGTGACTTCGTCACAAAGCCGGACGCGCCACGATTCACAGGCTCCCATTGGACGATCCCAGAAGTTGTGCGTTAACTTCCGGTCCCAAGGTTCCACATAAACGGCGATCGATGCATGTAACATTTGGTGCAGTGCACGTGTGCAGTGGGCGTGGTTTAAACTGAAGTGACGTCAGACTCACGAACCAGAAATCCAGATAGCCGACTCGATCGAGCATATGCCGCGCGCGTCGATTTCTATTGCACCCTCTCGTGACTTCATTTCACCAATCAACGACTCGTTCTACCGTCTTGGGAATATCTAACAACTGAGGCGTGGCCTTTGTATGCAAAATAGTAGTTTAATATGAATATTCACAATAGACCCTAGGATGCAAAATAGGATACAAAACAGGCCGTGACAGCGTTGGGGCGGGTTTGCGTTGATAGTGTCAGCTTGTTATTTCTTCAGTTTTGTTATAGAATTCTTTTACAGGCTTACTTCTTCGCTCCTTGTTCCAATGCATCGACCACGGCCGTTGTCAACGGTGACAGTACTGGTATTTAAGTAGTACGTTTAGCGTCGCGTACTGATGCTTGTACATGTACTGTACATATACATTAGATAGCACGGTATAATAATTATGCTTGATCGAGTCCGCTATCGAGTTCTGCCGTCTTGGCCCAAGATTGGGCAAACATACGCACATGCGAAAATGTATAACGTGTGGGCTAGAATAGTGTTACAACTTAATTAAGCATATGCACTCTAGGGGCGCTGTTCGGCGTGCAGCTGCTTGTGCGCCACTTTTGCGGCTTCTATATTTTTAAGGGATTGAAGTCTCAAATCCATTCGTATTTTTCTTTGAGAGAGGGCATCGTTGGTTGACTGGGTAAGTCACTTTTTGCCATAATCTTTATATTCAATAGTAGCACCTCCAAGAAACAGATCGGGTTCCATAAATTAACTCACACTTAAAGGGGGCATTTATCAATATAAATGTTCCGTTTTTGTACCGATGTGATGCCTAGGCCTCATTATGCATGATCAATAGAAGTAACGGCGATCCATTACGGGGAATTTGTCACGTACTGACCCATCTTTTACCCATGTTTACCCAAGTATCACATGATAGTGTACTATACATTCCCACTCAAATGGGGAACCTCTGTTACGGGTCATTCTCTTTAGTTATGTACATGTACATGACTTATTACACTTTAGGGCTGTGTGTTCTCTTATTTAACTATTTAATCTCATTACTCCATTGACACACTCACACCCAGTTGGACACAACTTTAAGTTATCTACAAGTGTTTATAAGGTTAAAGTAAACAGTGTTTATTGTTCATCTTAATTAACAGCATAAGTGATACAGACAACTGTATAAGTGGTACACATCAACATTTGCAATTTGTTAAGTGCCGTTCACTAGCTGTCGATGCTGTGCGTAGTCTGTTTACACATGGAACCTGGATACACTTTGAAGTGACCGCTGTCCGGTGTGTTGTTCCTGATTGTATTTATCCTTGTCGGCTGCAGTAACACCCGCCTCCCTTTTGTCTACACCAACAGAAGTAACAGATCGCAAGTGCGTAACCGGACTTGTCATATAGTCAGTCTGACCAAATAATGCACAACCTTGCGTCGGTTATTCTACAAATAGCGTGGGCCGATTTGGAAACGTACCCTTTGTCGTTTGAGTTTTATAAACGTTCCACTTCGTCTTTATGCAATTTTTTTTTACTTTCCCTGTGATCATGGACACGGCGTCTGACTTCAGCAAAACGAGTTGTACGTGTTCGGAAGAAAACACTGTGACTCAAAACGCGCACTGCACAGTTTGGAGCTCTCGTCGGTTCTGACCATTTGCTCTGGTCAGCCTAACTTTCGATGTCAAAATTTGTCTTAATTTCACTTTGGTTGGAAAGTTTTTCTGGCTTATCCAATCTTTATAGGTATTGCTGCTGCCTCTGGCATGATCTCTGAAACACCCAAAATTGAACAAACCTGTAAAATGCACCTTTGTGCCGCAGTAAACCTTATTTTCAATTTTGGTTTCGCTATTTTGAAAGGTATTTTAATGCGCCCTCAGCTGTCGGGGAAAACATGGATAATTTTGAATGCTTAAATGTGCACTTTTCAATACATTTAACCAAATGTGATTGTGTAAGAGTTTTCATACATTGAATAAAAAGTACAAAGATGCAGAAAATTGTGTCGAAGAAAAATTCATTGCAGCTACACTTTAATGCCTGCAAAACACTTCCTAAATAATAATAATTATTTACGTTTTCTGTGCTATGTATTTAACTAATTATATCGGCGTGTTAGCAACTTTGAAGGTGTATTGTATTTCAACCGACAAGATGGGAAATGTTATTTCTTAAAGAAATACATCAAAATCTCACCCTAAGTGTTGAGTTTGGCTGATGTACAGTATACATACAGGCATTTCTATTTTTATTAGTTAAGCATATACGTGCGCTAGGCTTACAAATCAATGCGCCAGACGTTTGGCTCGCTGAGAAGTAATTTGGTCTACAATTTAATTCTACAAGCAAAGCATATCACCGTCTGCAAAGTGCAGTAATACATACATTAAAGTCAAAAACTGCATTTCGTTCGTTACTGCATAATTTCTTGAAACACAAAATGTATGGCCTTGCAATAAGAAGGATTTATTGCCCTTAATAAAACGTCTGATCTTAATGTCAGGGAAAAGTGTACCAGTACATTTCACTCATTTATGCGTAGGCGCTTCGATTTCGAGGGGTTTTCCTGTAGTGCAAAGTGACTTTGATTATTAAAGTTTGAGAGCATCCATCCCAAAATAAGGCCGGGGCGCTTCCCTTTTTAATTAACCCGTTTGATTCGGTCAAATTTAATTTCATGTTAATTTACATTCAGCAGCATGAGGCCGAAACACAGGGGAGGGGAAATTTTATTCATCTGTTTGATAAAGCTGTCATTTTTATTTTACAACGCTTCTGCCATTTGACCTTTATCAGGTCAAAAAATTACATCAAACTCGTGGTTGTGACGCTGAATTAGAAAAGTCTTGTTGGAGTCGCTGTTATAGATGCCGTGAACGTGCATAAAGCAGTGAGTTGGTTATCGGCAGAGCTGAATCTTCTTCTCGAGTGAGAACATTTACACCTTTCTTTTCCAGAAGGAATCGCAGGCTCTGACACTATCGTTAGAGGACGTCCGGTTTGCTGGCGAGGACTTCTGTGGTAGTTGTGGGTAGCGAAGTGGGTGCTGGTCACACACTTCCTGGCCAATTTCGTTATAGCCCCATTGGTGCTTAAGGGCCCTGCATCGGCCAGTGGCATTTTTAAGTCGATTGGGGGTGAATCAAGAGCTCAATAAATATACCTAAGCGCTGCGAGGGGGACCCTCAAAAGAACAGGAAAAAAAACTGAAAAGAAAAAAAATTGGCGACGTCCATGCATATTTGTTTAGCCAATGCGTATTGCCATTTCGGACCAAACCTCAACGTTCATATCATTGTAACATTATAATTTGCTTTGATTTAGGAGATTGCAACAGGCAAAATGAAGCCAGTTGGCTCCATAATATTGCTATTGAAAAGTAACAATATAGGCCTAAATGTCATATAACAGTCATTATACTTAGCGCGTTTGTTTTCTTGAATAACACTACACGTAAATTTATAAGTAATATGTTTTAAGTAAATAAAACATCTCTCGATAGTGTTTTCCACAAAATCTACTGCAGCTAATTAGTAAAGTGATCGTTAAACGTCACCAGATCTGCAAAGTATTACCGACGTATTGAGACGAAATCCACATAACGGGGATTTCGTGGATGAACCCTTTTTTGCAGTGTTGCGGCGTTGGATCTTGCGCATCATGCATGATCGTTGCCCGTTGCCCAGTTGCCCGCATATATGAAAAATAGGTTTGGATGACATATATACGCTGGTTTTAAAGGGACGTGGTAGAAGAAATATATAGGGACCTATTGTCGGAGAACGCACTTTGTTGAGGGAACAACAAAGTTTGTTGAGGGAACAACAAGTATTGTTGACGGAACTATAAATTTTGTTGAGCGACGACCGTTTATGGAGTGTTTCCCGCGCTTTGTGGGTGCAGTCTACTAATTCAAGTGAGAATTTCTGGCCAGCTCTATAGAATTAACAGTTCCTCTACAGTATCTTTTGAAAACGGAGATTGTTTTGCCCGCAAAATCGTGAGATTGTGTAATCTTTGCCACGATCAACTCCCTGGGTTTTCTGGGCTTTCATCTGAGAACAGAATGGCTAAAAAATACGGTTGGAAAATGGTCCTAAGTGCCCGAGAAAGTTCAGGGTTGCCACTTGATAAATGGCTGCAAGCAGACTTCGGAAAAATCACTGTTTTGTGGGAATAACTAAAAATTCAGTTAACCCATAGAAATCGAAAAGAAGGTGAAAGATTGGGAACCAGACAATAATTTAATTTTGTTTTTCAGAAACCTCGGGGATGTTGGTATGCATGTTATTAGGCCCTGAACAATGCTGATTGTACACTTTTTTCAATGGTGTCTATTTAAAAAAATATTGTTCCCTCAACCAAATTTGTTGTTCCCTCAACAGAAATTGGTTGTTTTTTTCAACAAACTTCGTTGTTCCCTCAATAAACATTTGTTGTTCCCTCAACAAAATGTTATTGTTTCCTCAAGAAAATCTGATGTTCTCTCAACAAAATGGTTGTTCCCTCAACAAACTTTGTTGTTTCCTAAACAAAATTCGTTCTTCCCTGAACAAAATTTTGTTGTTCCCTCAACAAGTGCGTTCCCGACAATATACATTTTTTCTCACCATGTCCCTTTAAGAGCACCTTACATATAAGTCGTTAGATAAGTTGAAAATTGGTCATTTGTGTCCTTTCTGTAGTCCTTTAGAGCCGCAGCAACGGATTTCAACTTAAGGTCACAGTCGCCCCTAAAAGATGTCTTTCTAAGGACTTAATATTAAGTCCAGGTGAAAATGGAAGACCAAGACACACAAATGTGTTGGTACCAGAAGGAAGCATATACCTGACTGAGGGTAATGCAACGGTCAAGGTACTTTTATTGCTTTGCAAAGTAGTGTTCACCCAAGATTTATTTCCTAATGATTCCATGGCAATTTATTAACGGTCTTCTTGGCATTTTCTGACAGTTGTAAAAGCCTGGAATCAAGTACCAGACGCGTGTGAAAATGGCTGTTCACGTTCCCGTTGATGACGACGTTGGGCTCCTCCCCTTGAGGGACCAGGTTGAACCTCCACTAGCATTTCGTGCTTTCAACGAGTGTCCCAGCCCGGACCTCTCGGTGGTAGATCTGTCGGACCCGTCCAAGGCTGATCTTTACTCGTACAAGTCGGCCCACGTTGTCATGATCACCATCATCTACCCGTGCCTGTGCACTGTGGGACTGGTCGCTAATCTGGCTTTCCTTGTTAGCGTCTGGCGGGTCAAGTACATGCGCACCATCACAAACATCTATCTATCGAATCTTGCTGTGGCCGATATAATCTTCCTTGTAACAGGTAAAGACATAGTCAAAGTATGAATAACTACAATGTATTTTTGTTTAACTCGATTTACTAACATGGAATTTTTTTATCGTTTTCTTTTTTTCCTAACTTAAAATTGATTTTAAAAATGAACAAATTGAACGGAACATGTTTGTTTTAGTTACAGCCACGGGATTATCAGTGTATCTCCATTTCGGTATGATGAAAAAGGTGTTTCTAACTCCTCAAGATAAGCTCGAACAGATTTTGAAAGATTGTGTATTTTTTACAGAATACCTTGATTCCCGGCTAGGCTGTTAAAGTTTAGTCTTTCCCATTTTTGTCGCTTCTAAAAGGGACTTCTTTTGGTCTATGGAAATACTTTGTCACCCCAGTAACGTCTGACTTCTCACTGTGCGGGGGACCTGTTGGCTGCTTTGCTTTGGTTCATCTCAACGCAACACCTTTTCAGGCGTCGACCCTCCTAGTCACATTGGTTTCACTGGAGCGCTACCTCGCCATTTGTCGGTCCATATACCACCACCGGATCAACAGCCAAAAACGGACGGTCGGTCTCGTTGTCTGTGTATGGCTGGCAGCCATCCTACTGTCCTCGGTTCTCAGCTCCTCAGGCACCGAATACACCACAACTTGTGTGTCATGGCCCGCCGAGGATAAGTACCGCAGCTACCCTCAGACCATAGCCAGTTGCTTCACTCTTGGTGCCGTATGGCTCCACGCTGCTAGCTTTGCAGTCTACGTTGTGCCATACTTTATCGAGTTCACGATAGCCGTTGTCGTCTTCTACAAGATCCTTAACACACTGCAGAAAAGAAGTAATATTTCTGGTACTGTGAGTGCTCAACCCGGGGCGAATGATAACGTCAATCGCATCAGGAACCGCGTCGCCTTCATGCTGGTCATAGCTGGAATTACCTCGTTTTCCTTGGTGACCCCGCGAGTGATCGTAACCATTTACTCATACGTAATATTTTTCGCTGGTATCACTGGCCCTCTAACACAAGACCAAATATTCGTCATCTATATAACAGTGAACTTGCTGTTGTATCTGAACTCCGTTCTGAATCCGTTCATCTACGCCTTTTGCAATTCCCGCTACAGAGCTTCGGTGGTTGAAGCTTTCTTTGGAAGGTGTGTTTCTTCGGGAAATAATATGAGTTATGAACGTGACACGAACATGGCAAACAATGATGCAAACAGAAGGACAGAGACTACTATGTAATTCTACTAGTAATATACGTTTTACGAAAACGACCTTGTAGCACGGTTTTCTGTCAGCAGTTACAAGTACATGTGATGGCGCTACGAGTCGTACGCCTCCCTTTCGTAAGGAACGGAGTCTACATCATTGTGGCGGAAAGAGTGATTCTAGTATGTTTGAATTAAGCCTCTTTAACAAATAGCAACCTAACTGTTTGCCGTTGTTTAGGGAATAACTATAAAGATCAGTTACACTGCTTTTAGGCGAAAAGGTTAATAAACATAAAAATTGGTCATTATTACCCATATGACTAAACTGGCAGCTTCTCCTCACATTTATAAAAATTCGTCATTGGGAGTTCAGATCTACTGCGAGAATGCTCAGAGTAAAACAACTGAGTCGATGAGGGCCACAAACAAATTTAGCGATTTGATGATGTCATAATAAGGCTCTCGACCCCCCCAGACTTTGTTGACCTTGCGGGCATAATAGGCTGTCTGGTTGCGACCCATCGCAAATGTTCTCAGCGAATAAGGCTGTTCGTGCATGAGGTTTCATGGTTAGACTCAGGTTGGGCTTCGCCTAGAATACGCGAAGAAATGCAAGACTTGTAGTATTGAAATTCCCGTTTTCATGAGTGGACACAGCCCAAGCTGGGCCTCTGCACGAACATGCTACGTACTGAGTGCAGCTAGGGCGCGCAGTTGCCAAAAGTAAGTATGTCCGGTAATATGATACCGCGGCGCCAGCTACGCGGGTCACCAAAACACTGGACTTCCTACTTTGCGTTTGATTACGCACCTTTGACCAAACTTAAACCGTCGATGTCTCCCTCAACTTTGTCTACAAAGTCTCGTGACACTATCACAGAATTACAGTAACATTCAAATGTTTAAGTTTAGGACTCTATAGCTCAGCAGAGAAGACAAGTAAAGTAAGTAATACGTCTGGGGGCCAAGGACTAATTACGGAAAAGCCCCTCAATAGCTGTCGCGTTGTAATAGTCCCACATCCTAGCCTGGCCATTAAGGCGCTTTCAAAATAATAAATGGTCGTATAAATGCAGAGCTGTAGTGTGTCGTCATCAAAACAGGCTTCTATAGGAAGCCTCCGACGAAATTTGTTTTCAAATGCCGGATATGAAGAACTTCAGCTCGTGTTTTTTTATTACCCTGGTAGCAAACTTTATTTAGTTTTACATAAAATATTGTTTGGAGTATAACTAAAATTCATAAAAAGTGACATTGTGATTTACCAATGTGACTGGTCTTTAATACGAACTTGTCGCTAGTTAAGCATTTGTAGACGAATCGACTTCTGTTGCAGTGGGCGTTTGGCATTGTAAAGACGTTACTTTTTTAAAGGGGTATGGTAAGAAAAAAAGTATATTGTCGGGAACAAACTTGTTGATAGAACAACAAAATTTGGTTGAGGAACTACAAAGTTTGTTGAGAAAACAACCATTTTTGTTGAGGGAACAACGTTTGTTGAGAAAAAAAATTGCTGAGGGAACAACAAGATTTGGTGAAGAAACAATCATTTTTGTTGAGGGAACAACAAAATTTTGTTTAGGGAACAACAGATTTTGTTGAGGGAATAACAAAATTTTGTTGAGGGAACAACAAATTTGGTTGAGGGAACAACAAACATTGTAAAATCGGCATTGTTCAGGGCCAAATAATGTGCATACCAACATCCCCGAGGTTTCTGAAATACAAATTAAATTGTTGTCTGGTTCCTAATCTTTGACTTTCTTTTCAATTTTCTGTAGATTAACTGAATTTTTAGTTACCGTATTGCCATAAAACAAAATCACCTCCCAATAAGTGATTTTTCCAAAGTCTCCTTGCAGCCATTTATCAAGTGGCAACTCTCAACTTTCTCGAGCACTTTGGACCATTTTCCAACCGTATTTTTTAGCCATTCTGCTCTCAAATGAAAGCCCAGAGATCCAGGGAGTTGATCGTGGCAAAGATTACACAATCTCACGATTTTGGGGCAAAACAATCTCCTTTTTCAAAAGATACTGTGGAGACACTTTAATACCATAGAGCAGGCCAGAAATTCTCACTTGGATTAGTAGACTGCGTCCAAAATTTATAGTTCCCTCAACAATACTTGTTGTTCCCTCAACAAACTTTGTTGTTCCCTCAACAAAGTGCGTTCTCCGATTATATATATTTTTCTACCTTGTCCCTTAAAAACCCGACCCATTATTCATAATACGCGTGCAGCTGTACGATCACACATGATCCGTAAGATCCAACGCCGCAACACTGCAAATAAGATTCATCCACGAAATCCCCGTTGTGTGGATCCGTTTCAGTACGTCGGGAATATTTGCAGATTTGGTAACGTTTAACGATCACTTTACTAAAAATTAGCTGCAGTAAATTTTATGAAAAGACTATTGAGAGGTGTTTAATTTCCTTTGGTCACCTATGCCTTATTAATTTATGTGTAATGTCATTCAAGAATACAAACGCGCTAAGTAATGACTGTTTTAAGACATTTATATTGTTACTTTGCAATAGCAATATTATGGAGCCAACTGGAAAATCGGCAACTTCCCTTTAATGGACGTGCACACTTGCACATAGACTGATTTTAGACCTACACTTCAAAATTTACATGCCTTTATTTGGTCCTAACATCTCCAACGTTTCCTTTGTGGTTGGGAAATAAGGTATCTTCACTGGCTAGTGTTCTGGGAAAATATTGGGTTTTAGCCTATACATATGCATATACATGTACATGATCAATTACTTTTTTGTTACGTTAGTCTTTCTGTTGAACATAGTGACTGGTGAAGGAAGGATTATGATGCCAGCTTTTACATTCAACTTATTTTCTTGTTCGGTTAAAACAAAATTAGGGTCGATTCGATGTCGGTGGTTTGCAGTCAGCAATAAAAAATATTAATCCGCCCTCAACCTGCATGACAACCATCACGTTGGTGGCAAGGTTTCTTTTAACATTAAGGTTTATTTAACCAAAGAATCACATTTATGTGCAAGCTCATTATTCTCTGGAATTTGATCATGCATAATTCATCTTATTTGGAATTACCAAAGTAAACGCTCTTGTCGCAAAAGAGTAACAACGTTTGGTCATTATTAACGTTATCTTGTGGATTATAGCAGATTTCTACAGAAAGTAATACACATAAACCGGCCAAATATCGCAAAAGCGTCATCGTTACACAAACGTCGTGTTCCTTTTTTATTAACCAATAAGTTTGAATCTAAACAGATATAAGGAGTGTTAGAATTATTATGTGATTGGTTAAAATAAACTGCAAGACATGATGAAGATTCTTTAAACTATTACTGTGACGTCACTATTTTGTTCAAGGTGTAGATAATTTTTTTACGAATCCACTGAAAGCTGTAGATTATGTTTACAAATCTACAGTTAACTTTGGATTCTTAACGAGTGATGAATTAATGAAAACTCTCTCTACCTATCAGTTGGTAGTAATTGACCAGTTACTTTAGTGTTGAACTTTGCGGCAAATATTAATGTCAGGCCAAATATTTCTTTTAAAAATTACTGATTTCTTAATGACTGAAGCAGGACAAACCTTGCTTAAGTATTCATTGCAAATCATCACTGCCATAGAATGCACTTTAAAACTAAGTCTTTAATTTCAAATGATCAGACTTCCATTTAGTGTGTCAGCATACTGTAGCGCTAGTTCTTTGTTCCCTGGAAAATCACACGTGATACCCGTTCTCATTTCTTTTTGCCTCGTACCCCTCCGCCGAGTAAAGCTTTCTCTAGTCCCATGAACGGGCCTTCCACGCCGATAGACAGTAAGAAAGCCGCCCCGTACGCCAATATCATATTAGCCAAAAACATGCACACCTGCAAGAAAAAGTAGAGCTGTTATCAATGAAGAAGTACCCAAACCAAACCTCAGTAGGTATGTTAAAACCCAATGATTCGGTCGATTTGTCGGGGATATTAATGTTTGCTAACATTTAAATGGGATGAATATCTTCTAAAAAGATTGAACTTTTAAATGTTACTCAAATTCCTTCGAAAAAGCAGCAACAGCGCTTGGGCATCCCGGCGGAGGCACTGCACTCACAAGCGTTTCAGAAAAGGCGTTCTAAAGTCTCGCCGAAGCAAAATAAAAGCAAATTCCGAGTTAAGTACAGCAAAATCTCGACGTCTGAAACAATTAAGAGCAACCAGGATTGCTAGCAGGCCGGCGAAAGATCATCACTTGAAGGCGCTCGGAACGACACAAGAACGACTTGGTTTCAGACGTCACCTTTTTCATAGGTCGAACCCGATGCAAATGTATATATTAAGTTCGTCTGTCTGAAACCAAAATAAAATTGGGTCGACCTAAGTAGATCTTCATTCTATTTGGTTCGGCGCGACCCCAGAATGCCTGTCTGAAACGGATGTTATCAAGCTTGGCACCCGCATGCCAAGAGGCATATATCTCGTGCGTACAACCTGTCCACGAGCGTTGCCACTGCAGTATGGCTTCCGAATTAAACCATGTGGATTATATCCGCCTCACGTACGTTGGTTTATATGACGCAGTTGACTAAATATCAATGCTGATTAACTTGGTTTCTAGCCTTTTTACCCATTGCATGTAGCTGAAGTGATACTGTGCGTTAGAACTCGTGTAGATGGTGTACAAAATGGTGGAATGGAGGAGGTAGGCGCCGTAGGTAAGGCGGCTGAGGGGCGCCCAGACGCCCCAACTCAGCAGGCTGTTGACGGGTCCTGTTTAAGTAAAAATAAGAAAGGCCAATGTGGAAGCATTTGTTCTGAAGGGGCATTGTTTATGATGTTCGCTTAAAATAGCGACATTTGAAAAAAAAAAGGCACTGGCATAACGAAATGAAACACGATTTCGCTTTTAGGAAAACAACATAACTTTAGTGATTTGAACAGAATCTGCCTCATTTTCGTCTTGTGTAAAATGAGGCACTTTACGCCGGCTATAAATAAGGAGTCTATGAAATTCAACTTTAACTGTAATCCTTGCAAACCTTTAATGTTTCAGTCAAACCTTATTTTCATTTTGTTGGAATGTAAAGGTAATTGGTGCCTTTTGGTGTCTATGCTGATGCCAATCATATTTCTGTTGTCATTCCAGCTTGGACAAATCAATGGACTTGTGCCTTAGAACGGTTGAAATTTCAACTCGTTTGTCATGTCATCAAGGAAACGGACAGCCCTTTGTCGGAAATGTTGCCACTGAGCAAAAAGCTCTCACACTGAATCGTGCTTCCGCTAATTGACATAACGACAACCTGTACCGAGCGTTGAAGTTTGCTTTTATAGACAATTTTAAATATTTGCTTTTCAATGCACTTTACTCCTGGAAACATGTCATTTTGTTTTCACACATTAAAGAAGAGTAAAACTAAGTACTGTCTAAAAAAGATCTCATTGCCTGCCACTTTGAATGTCGGGAATTCAAACGTAGTTTTGCAAAGTCGGCATGATTACGCTGGTGACCATGAATCGAGTCACTTTGAACTGAAACACAGAGCGTAAACCGAACAATGTCGGAAGCGAAAACATGTTCTCGTAAAATCGGTTAATGGCCTTGCTATTCATTTATATTTACAACTGTATGTTAGTTAGTCAGTTTATTCATTTGCGGTCGTTGATTGTCGCATTGGACAAATGGATGATGTAATTTGTGTAATACCATTACAGGTTATCGACAAAACCGTTGTCAACCAACCAATGGCTTCTGCTACATTTCTGCTCAAAATGTAACCGAATTGGCATGCTTACGTTACTTGTCAGACGTTGTCAAGAAGCCCCTTTCGAATTTCGTGAAACGATGCGAGACACTATAAGAACATGTTGTTTTAGTCGTTACAAAAACTTCGAATTCGTATTTGAAACACTAGTGGAAACCTCGAGCAAATAAATGGACATTATCCAAACAAGGAGGTCGAAACGTTATATGTTCGTTGACTTTACTGATGGCTAATGCCCTCTTTTGACTTGCTTCGTAAAGACTGAGACGAACAGATTGCCCCCTATGGTTGTTTTTACTGTTATTAAGTGTCTTCATCTCAACGTTAGGCTGGCCTACCTCCGTAGCCCATAACACAGGCAAATGCAACCCATCCTACGGCCGTTACAAAAGCAGGTCGAGAGAAAACCGTATACAACACGGCGGCATATTGTGGTATATCCTTCCCTTCGCCCCTGTAGAGTCCAAACACGATAGCCAGGCCAACAGCCGTTGACACAAACCACAGGAAAAGGTTCAGAAACTGCAGGTGATAGAAAACACCGACAACTGATTAATTAAGATTAGTGGGATTGGGTTCTAGAACAGATAGGGTTGTGGGTGGGGCTTGGATGAAGTGGAGTGGATTGATGAGGCTAGGCTGAGCTGGATGGGATGGGTCCAACTGATCTCAACAAAAACAATCCCAAACCGACCTTAGCCCACGCTAATCGTCCTCACGTTCAAGTTTGTGCCCATCTTGTGAATTCAAAACTTTCTACATTTCGAGTTTCATTTCCATTTATCGGAGTATGACTGAGCCTTTGTGGGAGTGTGTATGTTTCTGCATTCAATAGGAAATTCGGTAACTGAGAACAAAATGCTCCCGATTAGGCTACGTCCTTGATAGGTAATTCGTGTATAAATCCCTGGAACGAAAACGAAATTGACGTCAACATGTCACAGTATTCTACAAACCCACGTGGGTGTTTATTTTTGCATGCGGGGAAGGCATAACACCGGTTTATACAGAGTACAAGTCTTATACAGACGAAAATTGACCTCAACAAATATTCGCAGCGAATTTCGCTTAAACTTACCTTTTTCAACTACACAGAGCGTGAGTCCATGCCTTATCTTTTTGTGACTTATGGACCAGTCTTGTCGCCGAGACGGGGCGCAATGACTATCGATTCATTAGTCCAGTTTGCGAATCGCTTTGGCGGTTAAATGTGGGCCTATGTACCAACAGCGAAATGCGGCTCACTTCTGCGGATTGTGAGCACTAAAACTTCCTGTGAAATTACAAGTTCACTTTTGCTTCCGAATCGCTTCCCGGCAGAATATAAACTGCCCAGTACATAGTTATCAGTCGAATCACGGACTGGTGTAAGGATACTTACCGCATACCATGATCGCCTTTTATCTAGTCAGTGCATGTGACGTTGTTTCGCTTCTGCATGCAACAAAACTACTAAGTGCATCACTTTTGTGGTTCAACCAACAGCACAAACCCTGAAACCACATTATAGACAGACAGTCCTGAGTATCACCATACCTTGCTCATTTTAAAGGGTTTCCCCTGCACCTGACAGAAAATGTATCCAAAAACCATGCCGACCAAATAGGCTGGTATACGGCAATAGGGCTTGCCGTATATTATGTCCACTGTGGCACTCCCATAGACAACGACTGTGTTGTTGTTGTAAGCACTGAAATTGAAAGGATGAAAAAACATGTCATAATTTGTTTATAACATTGAAGGGTGTAGGTTGTAGTTCTCGTCAATACTGTTTTCCTTTTTTTCTGAAGATACCAGGGTCACTTTTTAGCCGTGTAGGATTAAGAGCTCGAATTTTAATTGTTAAGTTGAATTGTCTGATTTAGAATAGAAATTGCTCTAGAAAACATTCGAAAATGTATATTGCAGAACTGTAGGGTAGGGGTGTAATTCTGTTATTGTAATGTTCTTTTATATAATTATATAAAGTTACTTACGGGAAAAGTCCAACTGGTGCCCCGTAATAAGCAGCTAGATAGGCAGTGACGCCAAAAGAGCCAAGACACAATACCATTATCAGGCTCATTCCCAACTTGGCGTTTCTAAAGGAAGACAGTATTACCAATTTTTGAACAATTAAAGCTTTAGTGACTTTGTTTAGCACATGCAATTATTTTTAATTTCAAACATCACTATGAAGAGGTCTTAGGTTGCAATGACATTTGAACCTGTACGGAAAAATTTGATCTGTCATTTTTAAAGCCTCCGTTCAGATGTGCGTGGTTATAGGAGTTGCAAGAAGATGGTCCCGTTGTCCCAGCTGGACAAAACCGCAATCAGAGCACAATCAACGCTCTTCGGGATAAAGAGTTTTGCTATGGTTCCAGATGAAAACGGCAACTGAATTACACCGATGCCATTTTTGTCTATACTCAGTTTATGACATTGATTTATCACAGGGTGTTGAATACTCACTTGTACAGCAAGTAGATGATGATGGGGCTAATGATAAAAAATTGCATATCGTTGGCAAGGTACCAAGCCCAACTGTGACACTGAAGAACAAAAAAAAATATACTGATGATTATGTACTGGTACAGTTCCAATTTAAACCCAGTGACTAATTTCCTTAGCCTAGCCATACTGAATTGTGCTCAGAAATAAAGGATGGCATATTGAAAATGATTGGTAACATCTTGGAAACTTCGTTCAATTCAGTTTAAAGTTATATTCAAATGACACTCTGCTCCACCAAGAAAAGGCTTTACACGGATGTAAATTTAAATTGTCCACATTTTTTTTGCTATTGAGTTAATTTATATCTCCTTTTCATATGTCTAGCCCTGAATTTAATGATTCAATGTATATGCGTACGTGCGTGTAAGCGACGATAATGCAGAAAATGGAATAAAAAAGGGGGGGGAACATAAATCCTCCACATTTTGAGAAAGAGATTTTTTGAGGGGAGCTATCATTTTATTCAGCAAACATAGACCAGAACAGAAATTGTGGTATCAGTTCATAATATATACCTGGAATTCTATATCGCCAGGGAACGGGTACAAGTTGTTTATGTACAGCAGATTTGTCCACCAGTACTTCCGGCAGGCGTCCGCTGCCGCTTCGAAGAAGTTCTTCTTAGCGGGTCCCTGGCCAAAATGAATGGCCAGGCTAGCCCATATGGCGATGGACACCATGTAGGCCGGAGTGAGACGGATGAAGCGATGAAGATAGAAGAGAAACCAATTCAATCTGCCGCTGCTTTTCTTGAGATGTTTCAAGGTGAGGTAAGTCAGAAGGAGACCGCTAGATCCCAAGCAAAGAAACCAACAATACGAACATCAATCTGGCCGGCGAGCCATGAGATGTGTATCGTGTAACTCGACAACCGGAGATTGGAAGTCATTTCTGCGGTAAAACTGCACATTCCCTCTCCCGGTCCAGCTTGACAGCACCTTTCCATTTTCAAATATTTTGCCTTTAATCCCATATAATTTCACCTCCACTAGGGTCTTCAAGCTGGACCAAGAGAGGGCGCAATGTTTCCTAGTAACGGAGGCTCCTTTGGTACTAACTGCGCATCGCTGGTTCACGAACAACTGTGAAACGCAAGCGTTGCAGCAGCATTGCTATAACAACAAAAATAACACTCCCAACCAACATTGTTCCTCGGCTGGTCCCTGTCCCTGTTATATAGGGACAGGGACCGGTAGTTAACTGCAGTTTAGCCCTGTCAATTTGGATGCTGAATATTTACATTTTTGTCAGGCCAATAGCTATGCTTCATCATGATTTACGTTCCAGCAGTTGAAGTGAATAAGACTCAAATATCTTTCCGTGTTCATCCTCTGTTTACCATAAAGTGGTAATCTTTTTTCCTGTGACTACTATCGATAAATTATTTTACAGCATTTTATTTCATATCAGTTGTAATTTTGTTAAATTTTAGATAAATAACCAATTTATGGAAAAGTTATTTTCGATAACACACAAGAAAAGGAGATATATTCTATCAGCTCCTGCCTGATTTGTGCATTAAGTGGGCTTCCTTTCCTTACTTACATAAAACCCGCTACTGGTCCCCAGGATCGGAGGACGTCTGTAAGATGGAGACTACGTACGGGACGGAAACCAGTCCACATTGCTCCTTTTAATTAACTGATGAGGGGGTGCTTCTGCTCGATGGCTTCCCTCTTAAACTTAAATGTCAAATCAGGTTGAAGAAGTTGAGATCTGACACAGATTCAGATCCATGTCGACCAGGTGTACTGCATGCGGTACAGAGCAAGTGCACGTCCAGATGGGAAAAACCGAACAGTTGCGGACAGTGTCCAACGGCTGACTCGTTACTAATTTCCCTATAACTCTTTCTCTGTGATCAGCACTTTGTATTCCCTCAAACAGAACAATTTAAAATATTGTACCTTAAAAAGAAGAAGGTGTCAACGGCCACATACGCGTTGATAACACCGTTGAATAAGAAAGAGAGGGTGACTTTGTCGAAAATGAAGCGGGTATTATCTGGGGGGAAAAGACATGTGGCCTGATCTGTGAAATAGCGATTTTTTTAACAGACTCATAAAAAGTGACAGACGAGTGAGATATGTACAAACATAGAACGATGTGAAAATAAACATAAACATGATGTGGAAAGAAGACTGGTTCATTATCGTATATTACGCCCCCTGAAATAGTGATTTCTGATTCTTTTCCTGGGGCCTACATGCATGGGAAGGAGGGGGTATTGGGTATATTCCCAAAATTTTCGTTGTGAAAAATCGGAGGATTTTTCAGACTACCCAAGAATCAAAATGTATTCAATACCCTCCCATTGCCCGGTTATCAAATTTGTTTGTCCCGACAATTTATTTTTTGATTTGAGGCCAATGTCACCTAAAGTCCCTAGCACAATTTCACGTCACTGTTCTTTTCACTAGATTATTCAACTGAGGTTTGAATATGATACATCCGTAGACTCACCATAATAACCAACAAGGGCGTAAGAAAAGGTGTGGCCGAGAATAATCCACCACATACTGATGACACGAATGCCGTTCAAAGCGCCGAGATTTCCTGCCATTGGTTCGGTGTTCATGATTTTCGAGCCGTTGTTGATAGATGAAAATCCAATCATGATATCGTCAATTAAATCTATTGACAAACGAAAACCAGTTGACACATTGTGTGTTCATACGAAGCCCAACTTTCCCTTTAGATTGGTGAACTTGGATGGGAGATCTTACGGACTTTGTCCCTTTTCATAATCGCCCTCTCTATATCTCTTTTCTTCTATGCGCCATTTCGATCAAGAGTCCTGTTCTAGCCATTTTTAGATGTAGAGAGCCAGATTATGAGGTCGTTAGTGGGGTTTTAAAATTTCTTGGTATCATATTTTTATCTATTTCTCTTCCAAACGGTACCCATTTCTCGTCGGCACCTCAAAATAACGTATATAAATGACAGTCCACGATGAGTCAGTTCCCGATAAAGCTAACAATATAATCACCAAATTGGCGGGGAAATTCAACTAAAATTGCGAGTCAGAATAGTGAAAAAGTGCAAATCGAAGACAACCTGTTGCTTTTACATGCCCCTCACTTCGCAAAAACGGTGAAAAAAATTCCGAAAGGATTTAATACCTGATTTTTTCATCTTTTGGTGAAGTACTTTTTCTTTTCCAGAAGTGTGATTTGCCGGAGAGCTGATGTCGTTCGTTTCACTAACAGCACCCTCTTCATTGGCGAATGCTTTGTTGTGGTGGACTTTACTAGCCGTTTCATTACTGCTAAACTGAAGTTCTATGTCGGCCTGAAAACCACCCAAGATTAAACGTGTTGTCAGTCTCGCATTCCCTCTCGTTAAAAGTGAGTGTCGGTGACCTGCATCCAACTTCATGTTTGGCATTTCTGAAGAGACTATATTGTAGAAAGGACACTACAACGTACGGGGCCTTTTATGGATATGATCAGAGTATTCGAGGCGCAACCTTAAAGCGTTTTTATTATGTTATTCGTGACTCGACTTAACAAAATGAGTTACAAGTAGCCGAAGCAACTTTTGAGTGCAAGGTCTTTAACCCCATCAATATTTATCACCCATATATTGTTAATCTTCGTTTGAACTTCAGAATGGTAGCCATATCCCCCGACACAAAGAGCTCAAAATGCTCTTTTTCTTGCAAACTAAAACAAATTTCCAAAAATGTGACCTTGAGACTATTCTTGTCTTTGCGGCAATTTTTGTCCTTGATTTCGTTGTTTTTCTTGTCTTTGTCGTCGTGGTATAGAGCAAACTGATTTCCAGTGAGAGTCTGTATAGTATTTCCATCGCACCTCTTTAAAGGAATGATTCTGCTTTGCTTCTTTGTTCTTAGTCTTCTCCAGAATAGCCTCTGCCTTCGCATTGGTGGCCTTCCTTCGACGACTCATCACGTGGTACACCGTTCCCATGGTTACCAACGACATTAAAAAACACAAAATGCACCTGGAGAGGAAAATTTATACTGTATACAAGGTGACAGGTAATCACTATCGGAATTACTTAATTTTTTTGTTGTTTTTCCAGTGCTATGTGTGTGAGATGTTACAGCTGATATGTCTTCAACTTTCTCTGCACTACTAAGAACTAAAAAGTTGTGACATTTTGACTTAGTGTTGAAAATGTCCACTTTTTACCACGTTTGTGTTCAACTCGTAAATATCAAACTTGAACCAATTTTTCACTTTCAGTGAAATAGGTCGAAAAGTATGTGTTTAGAACAACTATCGGCAGTATTAAACCTTTTGCATTGTACTTGCTTGCACAGAACGAGATAAAAAGCTGGCAAGACCCTGCATGAACCCACTGCCTCATGGCCCGTTCATCCCAGACAGGCTTCTCATTCTCTTCTTGGGCAACAACAAAATGAATTTACATATAGCATCCTTTCATTATGTTGTTCAAAAGTTTAGGCCTACGGTCCACACCACTTACTTTTCCAGTAAAGAATACCAACAGGAACGGATGAAATATATTGAAATATTGAAGGATTAAGTTCCTTAAAGCCATGTTGAACATTTGGGTGGTGTTTGGTGCGATCTGAAACATCTACGATAAATTTAGAAACAAATGCAACACGGGAAGTAAGTTAAATGACAAATCAAAGGCACCCCCGTCAAATGATTGGGGACATGTGTCTAGTACCTTGTTAACACCCATGGTTGTTTGACTTGCCTTACCTTTTCGTCCTTCAGTCTAACCTACACCAATCTGGTAGCAGGCAACTGAGACACGACATCTGCTTCAATAAAAGGGGCATTTCAAATATAACGAGAGAAAGACGATCTGGGGCACTTTTTGGTTTCCCTTCCTCTCCAAAATGAGCAAAAACCCTGATATTTAACCTTACCCTCATGATACACCTTAAGGGTTACAAAACAACACTCCAACTGCCTCTCCCCCTTACCCTAAGAAAAAGGTCTACTAGCCTACCCAAACATAATGGTCCTGAGTTTGTCCTTGCAGCCGAACGAAAAAAGTAAAAATGAACATTAAAGCCCATGATATGCGTCAGCTTCTCAGACGCCGTAATTAAAAAAAATAAACATTCGTTGTTTTGCTCAAGGTAAATGATGTAAAAATTAAAAAATAAGCAACTTCCAAAGTAATGAAAATTTGTCTCCTCGAGGTACGTGATATAAAAAAATGAAAAATATTAAAACTTCCAAAGTAATGAAAACTTACACTGTGACGATGGACCAAGGTTTCCAAGGATAGACTCCTACGCAGGTGACCCATATATATGGTCCAAAAACTGTACCAAAGGGGACAAAAGAGAATGAACGGTCCATGATCGAAGTTGTATAACCTTGTAGCGGTCTTTCTAATGCTCCATGAGGTTTCAATCTATCCAAGATATTTCAACCAGACACCTGAATAAGTATTGCACGACATTGTGCAACATGCGTCACGTCGGTACCTTACTTGAGTAAAAATGAAGACGGAGTATGGAAGCATTTTTGGAACAGCGAATTCTGGGTCGGCCCTAGCAGGGTTTCGTCAGAGGAGTCTAAAAACACAAGGGCCCCAAAGTTGACCTGAACTGACCATTAGAGGAAAAAATATTATGTCACTCTAACCTCTTTTCCATTGACAGACTGAAACGATGAAATAAGTTCTAGGTGGATTGTTAATTAAAAGCGATTAATAAATGGTGTCACTTCAATTTGTGTTCAAATTCACCAACGGGCAATGTCCTTCGAACACTACTTATACAAGATGTCACGTTTCTCTGATTGCAAGAAATGTTGAATGACATTGCAAAGAATTGTTACCTGGCACAGGTTGAAAAAGGTGCGTCAAATCGGACTCAGAGCAGTTGGCAGGGAAGCAAAGACCGATGAGCGCGAAATCAGTCGGCTGCGGAAAATAGACAGACGGTGAAGACACGATAAGCTCAAATAGTGTAATTGGTAAGAGGACAATTCCCAAGCTTTCTTATTTAGTGCACTGGGAACATGTTGCAACTTTGCCGTGTTGGGATGTGTTAACATTGTTTTTTTCTAAAACAAGCAAAACATATTATGAAGAATAACACCAGCACTTTAGAAACAATTTTCGCATGTTTCTTCGGTTGGCGGATTCTGTTACGGATGAAAGATTTGTAACATCGTTTGAAATTTCTCATTTTTGCCCATCCCAGGTTCAAGACCAGGATACGCTCATTGTATGGCAGTTGGAACACTACGATGGCTCAAAGAGTCAACTCTTCCAAACTGCTAGACGCTTAGAGACAAATTACATGGAGCTGTGCAAGAGACTTTTAGGCCAACAGGAAGTTTTCCCCATGGTTGCCCCAGACGTAACTCCAGTTCCCATTAGATGGGAGACTTGTTTTCCATGCAAATCTATGGAAAATGGTCAAAGCCACGGTATAATGAAAGGAAATCAGTTTAAATTCGGATACTGAAGGTGCTTGTTCACGTCAGGGTGTGATTTTAAAAGAACTTGGGAAAGCAGGTGCTAACTCGAAAAAGAGCATACTTCCACATTATAACCTTACACATTATGGAAAGTGCTCCCCAAAATTTGAATTATGTCATGCTTCTCAAAAAGTCAAAAATCAAGTAACATTTCTTTGCCTTATGAGGGCTGTGTAGCACTCCCTATATGATGGCTGTTCTTTTTACAAATTAATGTACTGATAACAGATACAAACAAACTCCACGTTTTTTCAATGGTTCCTTGCCGTGTTGAAGGAGCCATTACTGAGTAACAGCTGCAAGGGCTCTATTACTTACAGTAACCGGATATCTAAGGCTGCAATGCTGCGTGTCGAATGGGGCATCTGGGTTCCACTCCTTGACAGTCTGACACGTCTCCACGTTGCCATTGCTGACGAGGTTCCAGGTGTAAATTGTATCCGCACCTATAAGCTCGCCATTAGAGCTTATCACTGTGCCAAGAGAGTCGCAAAGGAATTGATGAAAGGTCATGAAATTAAAATACATATGCTGAGTCTCTTAACAAAGGCAAATAGCTCTGTGCCCTTGATTTCGTTTTAGGTCATACGTCTGAGTTTCAAGGTGAAGAATAGCAATGAGAGCTATGACGCCTTTTGCCAATTGGCTTTAAGAATGTTTGAATGAGCCTTGCACGTGCACATTAAATTCAGATTTATAACAATCGTGTGTAAAAGACAAAGCTTCAGTTGGTGCCGTTTTCTCGAACCTAACACGTCGAACAACACGCTGGTTCATAACGAAGTGTGAAATGCCTAACGCGTTAAATGAATCAGGTTGGTCTGGGAGTTATGGTTGTGCGCAAGGTCACAGCGCCTTGAAGCTGAAAGACCCAACTGGAAATTTTTAGTGTATCTTATTTTTAATTACTTTAAGTGCTAATAATCGAGAAAAAATCAACCGAAGAAATAATACAATAATCCAAAACACGGATGAGAATGAAATGGTATGATTTGTTGGTGCATTTCGTCCTTTGCATATACTCAGTGCATGCAATAGAACCTTCTTTTTCGTGCAAAATTTATCCCAGCAGTTACAATTCATATGTTGCCGCGTCCGTTTGTCAGTACGTCCATTAGTACCTGATGACGTGGCATCCCATTGCTTACCGTTACATCTGTGTTAGAAATCATCAGTATTATGCTAAGCCTTCTCTTTTGGTATATGGCGATTTGCCGACTGTTCCTCTTAATATCATGACTTACTTTGTCTCGTGTAAAGGACGCCCTGGCTAGCATCACGGAAGAACTGCAGTGTGTTGTTCAAGCAGTCTGAGGAGACATTCCGCCAGGCTTTGATGCCCACATACTGCTGGAGCTCGCTACTTATTTGGCCCGCTACCTCCTCAAAGTCGATTCCGTCAGATTCTTGAGGATTCCACAGCCCGAGATCTAGCAGGAGCTTCCAACCACCCTGCTGAAGTCTTGTCATGTCCAGTGCCGGTAATCCCCCCGCTCCGTCAACCACGCAGCTCACTAACAAGTCCTGGACTTTCTGAAAAAAGCTTCCAGGCAAATCAGCGCTAGATGTAACGTGGTCGTTGTTTACCTCTTCTGCGATACCCACTGGGACTTGCTTACTATCACTCACGTCATATTGGACTCGGTGAAACTCGTGCAAACCAGCATATTCATTGGATACAGGGAAAATTCCCGTGTCCCGTGTTGTGCATTGCACTCGGCAAACAAGGGTAACAAGAATCAGAGCGAAAACGATTGCAGAAAAATTCGCCATCGGTCTCAAGTCGTTTCACTTGATGACGATCAAGTGACCAGTGGGGTTATTTTTAAAACTTCTTCAGTTGTGAAGCGAATAGATAACAGCTAAACACATGACCTGTGCTATGAAAAATTAGCCACCTATCACTATTACTATGTAAAATAATCTTAAAATTAAACAAACGTGGGGATTATCTGATTCTCAGGCATGCTAATTGCAACGCTGTTATTCAGAAAGATTAAAGATCGGATTTCCCAACCGGTGGATTTGCAAGCTTTATCTTTTAAAGGAGATTTCTCGACGCTGAATTTTTGAGACTGAATCACATTTTGGAGATAATATAATATAATCAGCGCCTAACCGTTTCCACAATTTGCATTGTACAAAGAGCTTTTACGAAATGTATTTACTTTGGACCACTGTGAAACCTGACAATGATTCATCAAAATCCACTCCTGTTATGTACACGGGTACTGATTTATTGTTGCTTTGCGAGTATCGACGAGATTTCAAGTATACAAGATCTTGCTTCCGACTTGTATGGAACGATTGGGCAAGGTTCATCTTGACTAAGAAAGTTCCTAAGCGATGAATCTAATTAAAAGCGACGTTTTGTGAATTGAGAATGCATGTATATTTTGGGGTTTCCATTCCCCACAATTTCGAGACAGCAGTGATGTAAATTTGTGCTGAAAGGAATTGTAGAGGAGGGATTTTGCCCAACCATGGGA